GAGAGAGAGAGAGAGACTCTTGGCAGTCATTTTCAACATTAAAAAGAGGTGTTTTTGTTAATTGAGAGTGTGTTTCCTCAACCTTCATTTGTGTGCAGGTGAGTCCCCATGAATTCCTCCAGGCAGTTATGAAAGCCAGTAAAAAGCGGTTTAGAATTGGGGTGCAGTCAGATCCAGTTGAGTTTATGTCCTGGCTTCTGAATACACTGCATACAGATCTTGGGGGTTCTAAGAGGCCCAACGGCAGCATTATATACCGGTGCTTTCAGGTTCTACTTTCACAACCAAGAATTCTTTTCACTTTTTTGTTTTTTTTGTTGGGGTAGTTTAAGCTGTAGGATTCAAACTTGCAATGTATTGTTGTGTTCCTTTCACAGCTAAAAAGATAACCCTAGGCATAAATCCCGTTACATTTTATATTTCATTATGTCCTTTTAAGCCGTTGTTCATATTTTGGTGACCATGTTTTACAGGGGGAGTTGGAAGTTGTGAAGGAAATTCAAAATAAACAGTGTTCTGAGAAGAAAGAAAATGGTGATCAGCAGAATAAAGCTTCTGTTTCACAAGAGGGAACAGTGGTGGAGAATGTTCTCAGAGAGACTAACCGAATGCCATTCTTAATGCTCGGGCTTGATTTACCCCCTCCTCCACTTTTCAAAGATGTCATGGAGAAAAATATAATTCCACAGGTCGGTTATATACTATACAATATCCAGAAAGAAAATAAATGGCAGTAGTATTTCTGTTTATATTGCAGTAACTTTTTGATACTTTTTATATTACAGTATTCATTCTCTAAAATTGTCTGATAGGTTCTATCATTTTCCTAAATTCAAAATTTTACATCATAAACCACTACTTAAATTAGCCAAAACTTTGGATGTTTGGGGTAGAGACTTGACTCCCAAACCATCTGGACACTGTTCATGCTACAGGTGCTGGATGACCAGATTTGGGTGTTTTTATGGGTTTTAGTTGTTGTGATTAATGGATGTATTGTGAAATTTTAGGAGCTTATGTTTTTAGTTTTTCTCTATGGATTTTCTGTCTTCAGTTTTAAGTGTTATTTTTAGGAATTGTAGCATGGGGGTGAAATAGCCTACCCCAAATAGTTGGGATAAGGCTCTGATGATGATGAGCATGGGGGTTAGAAAGGGAATTTTTATTTAATGTTGTGGGCTGGGCTAGTAGTTGAGCAGAACACCTCGTAGGATTGGCATGAGATCTTTCTTGATTTAGTTAGTTAACATGGTTGGAGTGTTAAAAGATAGGATCTTCCTTTTCTCATCTTCTTGCTTTAGTTAGTTTTTCGAAATTAGATGGGGATCATGTGGGAGGTCCAAAGTTTAGGAGTTAGAAAGAGAAGTATGTGACTTGGAAGTAGAGTCTTGGAATGATGGGTTTATGGGAAAATGCATGAGTGACAGAGGAAGAGGGAGATATTAATTATAGGATAAAGGGAAGCTAAACAAGAGGAGGAAAAGACCTTCTTTGGATATTTATTTATTTTATTTAGAGTGCTTGTTGCAAGTATAGTTATCATGACCGGACCAAACCGATGGTTCGATCGGTTGGACTACCGACCAGTACCTTGGCCGTTCAGGTCCAATGTAAAAATTGGGTTTGGTCAAGAACTGGTCAAAACTAATGTTTGACTGGTTGGGTTAGTTGGACTAGCCGGTTTTAATAAGCTCGACCATTTAAATGAAATTGGGTAATTTTTTTAGTGCATTTTATATTTTTGGACTATTACGTCTATTTTTTATTTCATGTTTTCTAGAATCTGGTCCAACCGGTTTGACGAATGGTTGGACTGGTTTTGGCTAGACCAGAGACCAATAATAGTTAATAACATTAAGCCTGTTGATCAATAACTGTCGACAGCATCAAATCCACTTTTTTTTTTTATGTTTTCTAGAATCTAGTCCAAATGGTTTGACCAATGGTTGGATTGGTCCAACGCACTATTGCTGCTGTTAATTGTTAGGCTTCCTCCAATTCATTGCTATTGATCACTTGGTTATTAATTTAATCTATTTGCAAATCTAGTGCACTTTCAGGCTCCCTTATGAAGCATAGGAAGTGTACTTTGATATGGGAAAAAAGTACACCCAATTTTCTTTGTTGGCCTTATCCGTTGTTATATTATCTCAAAAAGGAAAGATATCCTATGAATTATATGAACTTTGAACCAAGTGTGGGCTTGAAAAGGGATATTGTATTATAATCTAATGGTCTATTGCATTCTCGTAGTCCACAGAGGTCATCTCCCTCCAATGAGAAACCCTTCTTAGAATCATGCGTGTAGGCTAAGCGAGGCATGCAGTACCTCCCATAGCAATGAAGTAGAACACATAGGATCATCAAATCATGTACATGCTTGTGCTACTTACGAGGATTTGGCTCTCTTCCTAGATCGCCAGTTTTTTTGAACTGCAGAATCTATCTGGAGTACCTCGAGCCTTGACTGACATTCAGTTGATAGGGAGTTAGTGTCATGTGAAGCTTAGGCATGGGCACACATGTTGGCTAGCAGCAAAAACCCTTATTGCAAGACCTTGGTCCAGATGGTGTGGAGGGATAGTTCAATAGTTGGACTTGGCGGACTGTTGTGACCAACATGTCGAGGCTTGGATGGTCGACCTATGAAGCATGACTTGATGGGAAATGGGCATGATCCATGTGTAAGCAGGTAGTGAACTATGCACCTGCTTTGGGCAAGTGGGTTGACCAATGAAGGATTTGAATTGTGTAAGTACACGAATGTGGGCTTGTTTAATGTCCATAATCCATGTGAGAAAGGGACTTGTAATGTAGCTGTGTGGTCATTACTTGCCGTGTAATGCTTATACATGTTTGGCTTGGTATGCATGGGGCAATAATGACCTATGGAATGGGTTGACTAAATCAATGCCCCTCCTTAATGAACTATGATGGGTAAGTCATTGATGGTCGGTGTGGGCTTGTAATTACCACATCGAGTGATGGTTGGTAATGATGGTGCAGGCCTTAATGGCTATGCGACCAACCGATGAGTGTGCACGTGCATAGTTGGGCTAAAAACTTCTAGTTCGGACCCTTGAAGGGCATTCGTGGATGTACAAGTAACTGTATAAAGCTAATAGTGGGTTGAGGGCCTTTTCTACTTTTTATGCATGCCTTGTGTGCTTATCTTGCTCCATTGCTCGTGTGTGTCCTTGTGGAATAATAGCCTTGCCTTTGTCCGGGTTCAACTTTTGCTTGGTTTGACGAGGGTGGCTATAGTGGAAATCATAGTTTTCGGTGCGAGTGCGGGTGCGTTCCTTGGAGTAGGAGCTGGCTCAAGTCTCTAGAACTGTGGATTGCTGGAAGCTCCTTGTGGTTAGGATTGTTGTTCGTACAATCGTATATCAAGGGAGCGGGATCCTTGTCATAGGGAAGCGCGATTCCATGAGGAAGGAATCGCAGTAGTAAGTTTTAAGGGATCACAAATGATGTGTGGGTTCACAGTACCATCGGGCACAAACTTGAATCAGTGCATATGAATCAGTGCTGAATAGAGAAAATATTATATGCACTGAATCATACACTTGAGAGCCGCGGTTCAAACCCACTGACATCGAGGATTACAATATAGGGATCCACGTTCCATCCAAGATCCCTAGTTGGAATTGTGGGATCGAGGTTCCGGAGCGGGTCCATGACCTTTCCTACAAGTTTCCAACCACTATGGTGCCTTGTGTCAGTTGGTATTAGAGCATAGTATCAAAACGTGGTCAGTGGCCATAGTTGGTGGTGTCTTGGCCAAAATTTGGGAATGTTTCTCGTACTTTGAGGGTCACATATGGGATCCAAGATGGCAGTTTGGGGCAAATCATAACTATGTTTTAAGGCTTGGATCTGTGTCTTGAAGACAAACGTAGAGAGTTGGGTGCACATGGTGTGCTTGTATGGGAGTCCTTATGGATGACTTGAAAGCTTTCATTGCCTCTTTCATGATGATTCTTGTGGCCTGCAAGAAGACATGATCCTTGTCAAGAAGGCCTTGTGCAACACCACGGGTGGGCTGGATCTCAATGCCTGAGAGTGCTAGGCATCAAGGTATTTAATGGAGTAAGGGGCTCTAAAGTGTTGGGGAACTTTCTATGGGACCAAGGTTTAGGTTGCTTGTGCCCATGAGGAAGATTAGGTTGGTGCAGAACTCTGTTTAAGGATTGGGGGGGGGGGGGATTTGTTGCACTTTAAATCAGAGCACTTGGGAGGTCTTGAAACAAGTGCTAGAGGATCAATTCTTGCCAGGCAATGTGGCCTGAAGGGCTTGTGAGGCTTTGCAAAACCTAATGAGGGAGTATCTGAAGAACTTTGCATCCCTCAGGTTGGATATCCGAATTTTGATTGAAGAGGACCGGCTGTTCAATTTCTTACGTGGGCTGCAAGGTTGGGCCTATGGCCGAGATGAGGAAGCACGGTAACTGAGAGAGAGAGAGGAGGGGGGGAGAGAGAGAGAGAGAGGAGGGAGAGAGAGAGAGAGAGAGAGAGAGAGAGAGAGAGAGAGAGAGAGAGAGAGAGAGAGAGAGAGACG